TGAGTAGCTAGGATTACAGGCGTGAGCCACCAGCGCCCAGCTATAACATTAGTTTTACAGTAAGAAATATTATGCTATACCAAAGATCATCTTACCAACTCCCTATTAATTCAGACTTAGGGCATTTTTTTCATATATAGTTATTTAATTTGCAATTATGGGAAACTTAGCATATCAGTATAGTTTTTTGGTAAAATTATTTAACAGTATATTTTTACAGTATGATATTCAACTAAAAATATTCTAACAAATTCCCTATTCTTTCATTATTACAACATTTGTTTTTCATGTAAAGTACTAGACCATTTTGAATATAATTAGTGTGTTAGAATAAAGTACAAGGATTGCAAATTGTGGAGAAATCAATATAAAGAAATTATATATTAATTAATATAAATAATATAAAGGAACATTAGAGCAAATAAATATGGTTCTTTAATGGTGTTAATGAGCAGGACTGCAGGCAACATTTGCAGATGAGTCTGAGTACTAGCATGTACTTCATCCAGTTAATGGGGATAATTTTTACCAGGAAATGGTATGTAATAACACAACTATTGCCTGACAGAGGTAACTACCAATAAAATAATTAAAACATTTTTGTCAATATTGAAAAATAGTCAAAACCAAAGCACTGAGCTTAAAAAGAAATGAAATATCCAATGTAATTGGGGTGCTCTGAAACCATTTGCTCAACATTTACTCAACCCAAAATGATGTTCTGCCTCTTCTACTCTGGGTCCTAAGAAGCTGGGAAGTATGGTGAATAAGACAAAAAGGTCATGTATGTTCCATTGAAACAGACAAACTACTAAAGACACAAGCAAAAAAAAATCTTTATGAGACAATCATTACAGTCTTGAAGAGAACACAGCAGAAACCAAGCTGCATGAGGGGGCAGCTGCTACACTGTGAAATAAAGGTGAACTCTGAACAGAAGACACAAGAACTAGAGAAGCAGACAGCCATGGAAAGACAGGGATGAGATAACAGGCTTTTGAGTAGGAAGGGGAATAGCATAGAATCTGTGAGATGGAAGAAGCAAACTTTCTATGCTGGCAAAAACCCAGGAGGATTGTAAGAGTGGCAGAAGCCAGGTAGCACTAGTGCCTGAGCACTAGGGAAGATTTTGATGGGAAGGAGAGAGACTCCAAGTAGGAAGTCCAACCTCACCACTAGTGGAGTGGGAAGACAGTGGAACCTATCCAGAAATCACTAACTGTGGCTAAACTTTTAGACAGATTTTCACACAGGAGAAAAACTTTGAACATCATGTTAAAAATCAGAAACTTAGAAAAATATCAGTCATCATCCCCTGTGTGTTTTCAAAATCTTCAGTAGTATTATTAGTGTGTTTAACATCTCCTTTTCTTCATTAAATATGTAGTAAATTAGTATGCATATTCAAGTTGATATATTGCTAATTTTAACATGTGTGTACAGATTACTTCCTATGCGTTGTTAAATATCTTATTATAGAAAACCACATATCCACACCCAAGAAATCACAATCTATATTTATAAGGTCCACATCTTATTTTTTGAATTACATTCATTTTGAGTAATGAAGTACTTTTAAAATACTTTACAAGTATTAAAACTCTGTTACTTTGTCTTCATATTGCTCGAAGGAAGAGGTTAGATTTATAAATAAATGCCTGGAAGATAGAGTACCACTGCCATTCCCAACTTTGGAAAACATACCTTGGTGCTTAAGTTCAAGTTTAATTTTGGTCACTAAGATATAATTTATGAAATTTGAAACACATTTTCTTAAAAATACATTCAAACTGGGTGGTAGTGACTCAAGCCTGTAATCGTATCCACTCAGGATGCTCAGCTCTGATGACTATGGTTGGAAGCTAGACCAGGTGGGCAAGTGCATGAGACATGTCCAATTAATCACCAAAAGGCCAGAAGTGGAGCTATGCCTTAAATTCCAGAACACTAGTTTTGAGCACAAAAGTTCAGTGAGAGCACCTAGTCCCTGAGTTCAAACCATAACATGAGCGGGGGGAAAAAATACACAGTATCTGAGCACCAGTGACTCACTTAGGAGGCAGAGATCTAAGGATGGTAGTTAGAAGCCAGCCCTGGCAGAAACCAATTAACCACTCAAAAACCTGAAATGGTGATGTGGCTCCAATGGTAGAGAGTTTGCCTTGATTACAAAGAGGGTCAAGGGCAGTGCTCAGGCCCTGAGTTCAAGTCCCTCAACCAACAACAAAAAGTACACTCATAATATTGCTAGAAAAGTTTCATGGTGTTCTGCTATTTATATATACACTAAAACAAAAGAAATATGATATACATTCCTTGAGTATGTGGTCTGTGTGTGTGTGTGTGTGCATCTGCTTCTGGGGAAAGCTGTGTTCTGAACTTATCTGACAGCAACATATAAGCTAATTGTGTTACTGAATCATAACTACATAATTTAAGGTATGCCCACAGGAAAGAGGAAAAGAAACATCTAATGTGAAACAGAAATATGATTTCTACACTTAGTGACAATATCACTACAAAAAGTGATATTGAAAGTTTTATTGTTTGAAAAGGCAAAATCTTGCATGAATACTGTGTGATCACATTACTTAAAAGGAGCATAATATACACACAAACAAATTCACTACAAGATGGTATACTTAGGGAAGAAGTCCAATGGTTTAAGTCTTTTGAAAAAGCAATCAACTATTAAACAAAATAAATATCAGGAAATTGAGACATGTTCCATATGTGTTGCAGGGGTACTGAGAGAGAGGGACACAAATAGAGGAAGAGTAAGCAAATACAAACATTTTGTTCAATGTATATTATGCAAAAATGGAACTATTTAACTTGAGGGTTGGGATGGGATAGAGAAAGGAAGGAAAAAATGCTGGAATGGGTGCCATTAAGCAAGATGCGCTGTACTCATAATCTCAATTCTGGAATTGGAAACGCTGTGTATAGCTACTTAATAAAAACAAAAATAATTTTTAAAGGTACAAGCATAATGACACATTTCTGATGGAGAAAAATATTAACGCACCAGAAGCTTAATTTTAAAGAAAACCAGAGATTTCCAAAAGATTTTGATGAAGTCCAGTGCCTTATTTATTCAAAAACAAGACCCTTCTAGGGAAATTTGAGAAACCCCTGCTACTTCTACTCACCTTCTCTATACAGACTATGAGGCATCCAGGATGGATGCTACTCCATTTCATTGCCATGGCACTGCTGTTCTGGACAGCATTGAAAGTTCCACATACAATTCCAATCCTAGTTCTAAATATATCTTGTCATTTTCTTCAGAAATGCCTTCCATTTGAAATTTGGTGAAAAGGCACTCCTACAGGAAGAAAACATACATCTGTGGCATGTCTGGTGGCAATGAGCACAATCTGGAGCCTCTGGGATCTCTTATCCACTTGGTGCAGCTCATAATAGGAGAAAATCTCTTCTTCAATGTGAGCAACAGAAAACTTCAACTTAACTGTGCAGGATGGAGCATGCAGGTTTTGGAGACATCAGTGAAAATGTTAATGAATTCTATAGCACATGGTAAAAGGAGTTGTCGGTTGCAAAGAATTATCCTAGAGGTCATCTGACCTCTAAGAACTTGAAGTTCATTAAGGTACAACTTAGTAGTATCCCTCAGCACCCCCAGCCCAGGCAAACACTTCAATACTGTTGATGACGTGCAATTGAATGAAAAAAAAAAACCACTGGAAGCCTACAGCACCTGCTATCAACACTCATTTAGGAAACTGAAGCTCAGGATTAATGGAGACCTAGAAATCATCCATCCCACTCTTATGGACTTTAGGATGCACAGCAAAGTGTCTAAAGCAAGGTTCAGCACAGAAGTTTCAGAACAGTCTGGGCTTGGGGAAGAATGGGATCTGACTGCAAAGGGATGACTAGGAAAGATAAAGATTACAAGAATGGAGTTCCAACACTGTTCCCAGGCTCCCTCAAATCTCTGCCTCCTTCCTGTTTTCCCTACTTCTCCAAAGACTTTTTAGCTCTCGTGAAAGGAAACATGGAAACTTGATCAAAAATATCAGTCTCATACTTCATGTCTTCACCACTTAAGGGTTCCCAGTTTGTAGCTTCAGTCATGAGCCACCAAGTGACCTTTACTGAAAGTGCTTCCCCTTCCCCACAGGGAAAGACAAAAGACAGCAAAAAAAAGTACTTCTACAGGGCACTGAAGGCTCATGCTTGGAATCTTAGCTACTCAGGTGGCTGAGATCTGAGAATTGCTGTTTGAAGCCAGCCAGGGCAGGAAAGAACATGAGACTCTTGCCTCCAATTAACTAACAAAAAGGCCAGAAGTGGTGCACAGTGGCCCAAGTGGTAGAGTGCTGGCTGAAAGCCACCATCGCAGAAGACCACAAGGACACAGTCATCACAGCAAAAGGAGTTTATTGTCAGCAGGGATGGACAAGGCCATTTTTCTCACAGGAGAGGGATAAATGATACCTGGCCTTTTTTCAGGGCATTTTGATATTCAGGGGACTAGGGGTGGGGAACTTTTATTGGAGGCAGGAAGTGAAGAGGGAGGAACAGCCAGAGCTGAAGGCCAGTTGCAGGTAGGCCTGACCAGATCAACTGGTTTGGGGAAAGTGGTTGAGGACCTGAGATAGAGGGCAGCTAACACTATAGACAGTGCCCAGGTCCTGAGTTAAAGCCCTAGCACCAGCACAAAGCAACAACAACAACAAACAAGAAACGTGTGGGGACAGTCAGACCAGCTGGGTGACTGTGGCTGCGCGCGGGCACGAGTAGAGCGGTGTGGAAGCCCCGCCAGGGACCTGAGGCTCGGCCCTACTTGTGATCCATGACCTAGCTGCGCCGTGAGTGGGCCGCTGGGCAGTGAGGCTTCCTCGGGCCTGCTGCGCCCTTCATGAGAGTAGGGGCTTCGCAGAGCTTAACGGAGGCCGGAAGCAGGGCGGCGGGTGGAGTAGAGTAGGAGGCAGCGGCCCGCTCACCCTTGTGGGTGGATGCTGCTTGCAGTGATGAACCCCCTGGAGGAAGAGAGCATCGCGCTGTCCTTCTCTTCTGCCTCTGATGAAGAATTCGATGCTGTGGTCGGATGTCTAGGGGACATTATCATGGATGATGAGTTCCAGTTATTACAGAGAAACTTCATGGACAAGTATTGCCAGGAGTTTGAAGACACCGAAGAGAATAAACTTACCTACACGTCCATTTTTAACGAATATATTTCTCTGGTAGAAAAGTATATTGAAGAACAGCTGCTGGAGCGGATCCTTGGATTCAACATGGCAACTTTTCACAACAACATTACAACACTATAAAGATGAAGTGGCTGGTGACATATTTGACATGCTGCTCACATTTACTGATTTTCTGGCATTTAAAGAAATGTTTTTGGACTATAGAGCAGAAAAAGAAGGACGAGAACTAGACTTGAGCAGTGGCTTGGTGATGACGTCCTTATGCAAATCATCTTCTACACCAGCCTCCCAGAACAATGTATGTCACTAAGGCCCACCTCCAGGCAATGGGTGGGACCATCGTGGATGATGTCACTAGCCTGGTAGGCTTAGAGACTTCAGTTATGCCCACAGACATGCGTCTCTGAAAGACTGCTGCTTATTTGCTGTTTATGTTAAGTATTGATGGGTCACAGACAACATGACCTCACCCTTCCGGACCATTTCTCCTAGAACACCTTCTTGTATTCACCCACCCTCGAGCTTCTTTCCTTCCCTATGTAGACACCTCTCCCAGGTGCTTCTGAGCCAGACCCCTGTCCAGGGCACGTGGAGTGTCAACAGCATGAAATAACCCACTATCATGAACCCTTTGTCCCAGCAGACTTTGCACAAGTCAGTGTGTGCACAGCTCTGTCACATGGGTCAGATTCAGACCTGCATCTTCAGTGGGGTTTTGTCTGGGACTACTCACTTTGCCAGATCCTCCTGCCAGCTGTCTGCCATAAGGTGTGTTGGCTGTAGGAACCAACTGAGAGAGATGTCCTCTACCCAAAAACAATCTTACATCTGCATTGCTTGTAACACTCTGCTGCTTGTTCTCATGTAGTCCTACTTTCTACAAATCTTAAGCATTATTTTTGAAAAAAAAATTTATAGATGAAAACTCAGGCTAACCTAGCAGATATATATGGTCATGAAATGTCATGATCCTCCACTTAAGATCAAAGTATTCTCTGTGTTCTTTTGAGTTAGTGCTGTGAAGGCAAAGATGCTGTCTGCACTGTGCACCTGTTGTATTGGCTCCAGTGAACATAGGCTATGTGCTAGAAATAGAGTAGGAACTGCCCTGCCTTTGGAGCATGCTAAGTGTTTGTGCAGGTTTGCTTTAAATCCTTTCTGCATAAACCAGTTTGGTGGGCTTTCTTGGGAGGAGGTAGAGAAGCAATGTTTTCTTCTGTCAAAAACCTCTTTATCTGAGAAGGTCTAGCTCAGCATAGAGTGGATGGGGGACAGCTTTGCTGGTCACCTGTCTGCCTTGGTTTAGTGTGGCATTTGGTAGACTATAGCTAGCCAGAAATCAGTTCAATTCCTAATATGTACTTTTGACACTAAAACCCATCCGGGCTTTTCAGTGACTGTTGCAGTTTCAGAGGATGAGCTTTAAGCTATACTATGTGTTTTTTCTGTAGTAGTTTGTTGCTACTTTTGTAACCTGAGTAAAATTTCGAGGTGTTTTGCAAGAACCATCATTCTAAAAAAAAGAAAAAAGAAACGTGTGGATATTCCTTGTTAAGCACTAGGGGAAGTAAGGTCTAATTCCCTACCTGTCCTACACTTCCTGCTGAGCAGCACTTGGTTGATTTTGATTATCACAATTGCTTATGCATTTTGTCCTCCCACACCAAAATCTAAGAAAATGTTTCTGGGAAATTATATTTTGAAAAAACTCTTGACGATTAATTCAGTCTAAGTACAAATGATCTTTTATTAAAAAAAGTTTCTGTTAAATATATATAATCGAAGAATACCTTGGGAATCCCCTCCAGACTGACGGACTGTTCTGGTACTTCCACAATGTCCTATCCTGAAAATACTTCTAAATATTTGTAAAGTCTGAGCATATTACTGACTGGTCATTAAACAGCACTCCTAGAGTTAACTGATGATACATCCTAATTCAGCAAACACGGCTCTATATGAATCTCAAAGGATGGGATAAAATTATTATTAGCATAAATAGTAGAGTTAATTTTTTTTAATTGAAGAAGGGATGGAAGTTGTTCCTAATTCGCTGTGCTGGCAATTATAACCTCAGGCTTTCTTCATGCTAAGCAGCCATGCGACTACTAAGCTATGTCCACAAGAAATGGTATTAAAATTCTATGCAAATAGGAGTCTGGCACTTTCTTTAACTTGACCCATAATATGAATATATTCATTCGTAAATTTTATTGTAAAATAGAAAAAGTCCAAATTTCCCCATTTTATCATGAATAACTTCTAATCTACTGTGCAACATACAAGTGTTTAAACATCCTATAACACGTTCAAATATTGTGCTTTTATTCATAAATTTATTTTGAATTACTATACCTGGAAAAATTTAAAAATTGCTATATAGACCATAAATATACTTCATAATATTCAATACACTTTATAATATTCAAATACAATTTATAAACAAAGATTCATTGAAAATGCTCTTTAAACATCTAGAGCTTCCACCTATAATCCTAGGTATTCAAGTAGCTGAGATGTGAGGATCACGGTTTGATGTTAACACAGGTAGAAAAGTCCATGAGATACCTATCTCCAGTTAACTACAAAAAAGCTGGTATAGGAGCTGTGGATCAAATGGTAGAGTGCTCTGAGATAAGCCCTAGGACCAGTACCAAAAACAAAAAATGTTCTTTCCAGTAATATGCTAAATTTTTATCCAATATAAATTTTTAAAAGAGCATTTTAACAATCTTAACATGCTGTGTTGGTTTATAAATTTTATATTAGTAAAGCTCAAAGAGTAGGAGGAATTTGATGAAATAAATATAAAAGTAAGGTTGGCTATAGTGAATAGTGCTGAAAAAATAGAGACTTGCAAATGTTTCTGTGGTAACTGACTTACATTCTCTGGGATATTTATCCATTATTTCTTCATTGTATGGAAGTGCTATTGTTTTAAAAAAAATCATTGTCAAGGTGATGTACAGAAGGGTTACAGTTATATAAGTGAGGTACTGATTACATTCCCTCATTTTTCTCCCTCTTTCCCTGCCCCTCCAATCTCCTCCAAGTTGTAACAATCATTTCCAACATATTGTCTTGAGAGTATTGCTGTTGTATAGGTTCCAAATTTGTCTCAACTTTTTGTTGCTCCGCTTCCCTTCCCTAGTTCACAAAAATGTATATACAACACCCAGGGTACCAAAATCTAATACAGTGACAACAGGGGACAAAACATAGGGGGAAAACACAAAAGAGAAAAGAAATCATGTAGGACATTGACAACAACAACAAAGAAAAACTTCTGTCCATGTCTAAGAGTTCATTTCACTTAGCAACAGCTTATATGGTGACATGCACATACCTAAGATTATCCTAGATGTATACTAATTCATGCAAAAAAGGGAAACCATGGGACCTATGTTTGTTTGAGGCTGGCTTACTTTAATATAATTTTTTTGGAGTCTTTCCATTTCCAAACAAATGGAAACAAATGGGGCTATTAAAAAGGAGTTGCTTACCTGATTTCAGCCACTCTCTTCTCGTTATTGTCATAGAGAAAAGCCATTGATTTTTGAGCATTAGTTTTATACCCTGCTACTTTGCCAAAGTTTCAAATCAGCTCGAGTAACTTGGGAGTGGAGTCCATGGGGTTCTTTAAATACAAGATCATGAAATCTGCAAAGAGGGAGAGCTTTACTTCATCTTTCCCTATTTGGATCCTCTTTATGTTCGCATCTTGTCTTTTTGCTCTAGTTAGGCATTCAAATATTAAATTGAAGAGAGGTGAAGAGAATGGACACCCTTGTCTTGTTCCTGAATTTAGAGGAAATAGCTTTAGATTTTTACCATTAATTTTAATGCTGGGTGTAGGTTTGTCATACACAGCCTTTATTGTATTGAGGAATGTTCCATGGATTCCTAGTTTTTCCAAAGCCTTCATCATAAAGGGGTGTTGGATCTTGTCAAATGCTTTTTCTGCATCTATTGAAATAACCATGTGGTTCTTATCCTTGCTCTTGTTGATGTGAATTATATTAACTAATTTGTATATATTGAACCAGTTTGCATCTGTGAAAAGAATCCTGTTTGATCATAGTGTGTGATTTTTTGTGGAGTTGTTGAATGCTATTGGCCAAAATTTTGTTGAGAAGTTTTGCATCGATGTTCATCAAAGAAATGGGTCTATAGTTCACTTTCTTTGATCAGTCCCTGCCTGGTTTAGGGATGAGGGTTATGACAGCTTCATAGAAAGAGTTTTGTAGTGAACTTTCACCTTCCATTTCATTAAAGAGTTAGAGGAGTATTGCTGTGAGTTCTGCTTTGAAGGCCTAGTAGAATTCTGCTGTAAATCCATCCGGTCCTGGGCATTTCTTGGGTGGGAGATCCCTTATTGCTGTTTCTAGTTTGATCCTTGATATGGGTCTCTTTAGTTGGTTTAAAGCATATTTTTTTAGTTTGGGCATGTCAATATTTGCTAGAAATTCATCCATTTTTTCTAGATTCTCAAACTTATTAGCATAAAGGTTTGAGAAGTATTACCTTTTATTGTTCTGAATCTTGATTGTTTCTGTGGTGATGTTTACACTACGATCAGTTAAATGGTTCAACAGAACACCACTTTCCCATCTTCCTTACTAACTAGGCCCAACCTTGCTTAACTTTCAAAATCAGAGGAGATAGGCATATTCTGGGTGGTATGGCTATATATTACA